TATGACTCTATCCCATGCTATCTACTCACCTATACCCATGACTCTACCCCATGCTAACTACTCACCTATACCCATGACTCTACCCCACGCTATCTACTCACCTATACCCATGACTCTACCCCACGCTATCATGTGTTTCTCAAGCCTAGGATCATCATACTTTTCAGCTTTCATCAATAACCGCACGATCTCACCATGAATATAAGCATCATCAAAGGAAGAATCTCCTTCAGGAAACGGAAACTTTGCATAGACATCAACAGCTTGTACTGGGTCTTTTTTTACTAATATCTCACCAAGTTCAATGTAAGCATCATGTACCTGCAAAATATATAATATTCTCAGTTAGCTCTAACAAACAATCGATCTCTCCATCATTATTACTTAACAAGCAACCTCTCGGCTGAAATAGCTCCACTGTAAGCAATGCACATTTAAATTAGAGAATTGAAGATATCATCACAAAATGATTTTCAAGAAGAAGTCAAAAAAAGTAAATAAAAAGTTGACACGAACACGGATGCTGATGGACAATCACTCATATGATAAGCTCCACTCCACAATGTCAAACGCAGACCCTAATAGATAGATAGATAGAATTTTTTATTTGGAACGTATCAATGAAATCTTGAGTAAAGTCCAAAAATAACAAAACAAAACATTCAGAACAACAAAAACTTACAGTACTAAAACATATCAAAAATATAGAATATAATATACCATGAAACATGCTAATCAGTATCCATCGTAGGTTATATGGTTAACTATGTGTACTGTTTGTTAAATACCCCAGGTTCAACATGTTTTCATAGCCACATGTGCTAACATAATATCGCCACAGCTGCTAAACAATAATATCATATGTAGGTGTATACCATACCATGGTACCATGGAAAAAGGTTTTCTTAATTTATTGGCCTCCCAAATTCTGACCAGTCACAGAATTGTGCTTTTTCAGTACTCCAAAATTTTGTTTTTCTTCTAGGACCAACTAATTAATGTGTTAAAGTTGCCCACCAAAGTATTTTTCCTCTACACTTTGAACATGCTATGGCAAAATATACAAGACATGTACCGGTATTTGGGAGCTGTGTGTACAATGTTGTTAAAGCAAATTGTCAATGTTTGTTTTAAATCGAGAGCACTGATTGTCCTCTTCCATAATTGGATTGTTTGGTCCCCTGTAATGGAAGGTAGAAACACTGATTGATGATTTTACAAGCTACTGAGTATGACAGTATGGCATGTGTATTTTATGATATTAGAGAGCCAAGGAAGGGTGGAACATGATCAACCATGATGTTATTATTATTATACAGTCATAACTAAAATTTTTGCTATGAAATATTTGTTTTTTTGTCATGCCATTGATTGCTTGATGGCCTTCGTACGGAAGCACAGATCTGTCATGATGTTCGTTGAACATCAATTTGCACCAATAGGTCAAAAATGCGATTAACTAATCAGAATGTTGTACATGATATTTTCTAAAAGAACCAATTAATTTTTTTTTTTTTTTAACAGCTTTCACTATGATAGCAGTTGAAATGATGTTTTTCCATTCACACAACCATAGGCACTTTTATTGTTCAGTCATTACTTCTGTTTTAGCAATAAAAACTAGCTTTTAGTGAGACCAGATCAAAATTCATGCTATAGCGCCAGCTTGTGGTGAGATTGGGATGACATGATTGGAACAATTGGAAGAAGCGTTTCTTGTGAGCTACAATGCTGTACAATTCATATCTGTTAGTTTGATGTGGAGGTATCCATTGCCTTTGTAGGTACATAATACATTGCTTTGTAATAATACAGTTATTTGTAATAATATGTAATAATCAGATTACCATGACAAAAAAAAAAATCGGTAACCCTGATTTTCACGATCTTTTGGTTTTTCGCCATTTATCACTCCCATAACATTTTATTTTATTGAAAAAACAACAAAACAAAACAATAAGAAACTGTATGCAAGTCTACCTGAGGTTAAACCAGATACAAATTAAGTCACATGGTGCAACTTTTTGTAATCATTATTTCCACTGATCAAGATTTCACTTAAATTTTGAATTGAAGTAAACAGTGGATTCTAGAGAGTTTTGTATGGTACATTATTTATTAAACCAATGTTCCATAGACGTACCATAATTACTTACCCCAGGTGCCATGGTTATAACATCATTATATAACATTTGTATTTCAGCTGTATCTGTGCTATCGTCTTTGACTAAAATTCTAGCCAATCCAAGTCTAGGTAGGTAAGTCATTTTATTTAGAGGAACATTGGATGGCACTGCTTGTTTGACTTCTTCTTTGGGTTTTTCTTCTTCTTTAGCAGGTTCTGGAAACAATGTGTAATCAATATTTTATACATGAAATTATCAGTTATTGAATATACTAGTACTTATATGAATGATACATAAAGCATTTGTTGTTGGGTGTTACTCACCAACTACTTCTGTAGGTTTTGTGGCGGCTGAGGCACTAGATTTTACAGAAGCTGCAGCTTTACCTGCAGCAGGCTTTGCAGCTGCACCTCCTCTTGTACCTCCTCTTGCTGCAGGACCTCCTCTAGCTGTTCCTCTTGCTGCTGCTCCACCACGAGCACCAGCACCTCCCCTGGTTGCACTGCCTCTAGTAGCAGCAGCACCACCACGAGCTGCAGTGGGTGCACCACGACCACCTATAACATAACAAGAATATCTTAGTAACCACCTTTTGTGTTTTAACAAATTTAGCTTTCACTGTTTTAGCACATGTACCTACCTGGAGGTGAACCACCACATTTTGTGTTTAACAAACAGAGAATAGCTCTCACTGCTGTAACATACCTACATGTACCTGGAAGTAAAGATTGTACCACCAAGTTTTTAAACACATACCTCTCACGGCTGGGGCTCCTCTAGCAGCTGCAGCACCTCTGCCTGCTGGTCCAGTAGCAGTTTTTGTTGCAGCAGGGGCAGCTTTCTGTTTTGCTTTTTCTTCAGCAGCTTTTTTACTCTCTTCTTCCTTTTTTATTTGCATCCACCATTCTTGTTCTGAGACACAAGTTGCATTAAAGGGATCATATCAAAATCAGACATGTAGTAATGTATTGTTAATATTGGAACCAACAATTTATTAATGCATAATATTAAAATTATAATTGTATTTTGTAAAATGGTTTTACAACAATTCATGTTAACTTACGTGATAGCTGTTGTGGTGGTTCTCCTCCTCTAACTGGTTTTCCCTCCAATGCAATAGCAGCTCGGAATGATAACTGTGCATCTTGTGCAGCTTTTTTACCATTGTCTGATGATGGATCATTCTCATACATTGCAAGTTGTGCATTGCCAAGTAGATAGAGACAATAACTATTACATGGTTGTATCAACACACCAGTCTGACAAGTCTGAAAAAAAATTAAAGGGAGGTAGTTTAAGTCAATTTTTTTACATTTACATATTTTTAATACAAATCACTGAAAATACATTATATTCACCACAACCTATTATGTTCCCCAACAATATTTTTTGTTCATGACAACCTTTTTTCATATTCACCAGAACACATCCACAACACATCCTATTATGTTCATCACAACATATTATGCAAATCACAGCCTATTATGTCCAAAAACCAGTTATGTTCACCACAACCTATTATGTTCATCATAACCTATTATTGTTTTTAAAAAAACAATAAATCAAAAGAACTTTTACAAGTTATTTATTTAGCCAGTATTACTGAGATACATATTACCCACTCATATTATCATTTTCTGTAAACAGGCTCAGAACCCATTTACAGCTCAGAAATAAGTGACTGAACAACTAAATATCATACAGTTGTATTGAGAGGAATACATCAGTTGTCCAGAAATTTAACCGCTACTATTTGCAACAAGCACAACTGGATCTTTGACAAGCACTGAGGATAGTACACAGAACCGACAGATTTGCACCTCAACTTGACACCATTATCCTAAATATGAATGCAGCGAGTCCGGCAGGTGGACAGAATGTACTCTTTTTTTTTTCACTACTGATTGTGCAGCTGACTGTGCGTGTCAAAACCCACAATCTCCCCGATGATGGGAGGACATACTAAACATTGTGCAAAATACTAAATCTAGATACATTGTATAATAAGGTTGTATTCTGAGATAATTCCTATTGTTGTCCTAATACCTTCCCAAGTATTCATATAGGAATAATATATGACATATACAAGAACATTATTCAAAAGAGTTTGCAAATTCGAATGGCAAGCCAGGGGCAATCAATAACATTCAAATAAATGTTTAGGTACATAATTTAAATCATGTAAATTCAGACCATCAAATATTTCACATTACATTCACCTCAATAAAGCTTGAGAAATGATAAAATAGATACAAGTTCATGATGATTTTGGGAAATTGTCATTATCTTAAATAAAAATAATACCTTTTGTTGTAGTTGTAAAATCTGTGTACTGTGTGGTATTGTAAATGACCTGATGAGTGCAGACAACCTCTGACATCGTTCAGCTATTATGTTAGGGTCAGCTTTCTTCATCATTAATAATTCCAAGAGTTGAGAATGACTGTCCAATAGAACCCATTCCATGGATTGATAGACATCACCACGGTTTACCAGCGAACAAAGATTATTAACTGCTATAATAGCTCCACTGTACATTTAAAAAGATTTAAAATTTTATCTATTTTATCTGTACAATAAAATTATTCATCATACATGTAGTTGAATATATAGTTGAACATCTTTTAGTTCAGTCTGTATAGAATTAATGTCTGAATCAATAGGGGTAATCATTCATGTTATCAAAAAAACTATTACACTCGCTACACCAGTTAAACACCACCAGAAAGTTTCATTCCTCCCTAACTAAAACATCATATTTCAACAGATAAATGCTATCAGCTAGCTTACTTGGTTTAGTTGAAATAAATTAGTGTTGATGGCCACTACCTGTTTCAGTAGTTAGTTATATGAACTAACCTATGGAGTATTTCTTCCGCTGTCATGTACTTATCTTGTGGAGAGGTGGATAATAACTTTCCAAGTTGAACACATCCTCTCAATAACTGAACGTTAGATTGCTTCCATAAATCTTCTGAATGTAATAATGGACCATCACTGTGTTATCAAACACAAATATGGTTACAGACATGTATACAAATATTATATGTTTGCGAACACACATAGTTATTGCTTTATATATTTATATTTTTCACAGGCTTTCATTTTAACTGACCAACATATTATATTCCGGTTGTATTGTATTATTGTTGTAAAATATACAGTAACATGAATCACTAGTTATGGCATTTGCTAGTAATGTATGTTGGAACAGGACTGATTTATATTTTGCTGTGATAACTTAAAATCAAGTCATGCAATGTTGTATCATGTCCTGCTTCGAAACAA